GAAACAAAGTGACAAACCGCGTGGATTAAGGCAAGGACGAAGGAAGTGATGAGGTCATGCATCGTAATGGCTAAGAGACGAAAGATCAAAGAAACAAAGTAACAAACCGTGTGGACTAAGGAAAGCACAAAGGAAGTGATAGTGAGAGATGAGAAGGTGATAGGGAGTCATTTTGAAGCTTGGTTTTTATTATAATAGAATGTTTAGTCTCACAGTTTGGTTGTTAAAATATTAATTAAAATTTATAATTTGTTTTTGATTTTTGAATAATGGAGGTAAAGGAAGAAAAGAAGAAGATAAATGGTTTTATTTTGATCAATTAAGTTAGGTGATTGGACAAATAAAATAATTTAATTAATTATAATAATTTTTTCACCTCTCCCTTTAACTCCTTTTCCTTTTAAACCAAATAGACAATTCATATTTTTTAAGATATCTTCTTTTTTTTAACCGTTTTTAATGAACCGTTTTTAAGATAACTTCTAAAAGAGCATACTGCAAAATACTGTTTTCTTTTTAGGATAATAATTGATGTACACCTAGATCCAACACTCGGGTATGCACCCCCTATATAAAAAAAAAATTAGACCAGGTGATGGGCATTTTTTTTTTTATATAATGTGTGCACACCCGGGTGTTGAATCCGGGTATGCACACATCATTTCCCTTCTTTTTATATTAGTTTTTGAATGAATATTGGTGTTATAGTAGTAACAAAATTTAACCAAAAAAAAAAAAAAGTATTGATGAGAATGGATTCCATTTATGTAGACCCAATTTTGAGTACTTTAATAAGGGTGTTGTGGAAAAACATTTCCTTGTCCCTGAAGCGAAGTACTTTACTTTCTATTTATTAACCAAAATTGTTTTCCTAATAGATTCCATTTTATGTAAATAAATCCAATTTTTAATACTTGAATTGAATATGTGCAAAAACATTCGCATGTCCCTGAAACAAGGTACTTCTTATTTATTGACCAAAATTGTTTTTTTTTTTTTTTGTTTACTCATTTTGGTAAAAAGAAGCAAGTATATATTGGTCTGATGATACTTTCACCGAAAAGTCCGATTGACTTAACCAAGAAACCTTTTTTTCTTTCCTAAATGAAAGGAGATGTGGGGATGAGAGAAACAAAAATGAAAAGAATACATAGCAAAAAATGATTTTATTCATTTTACGTAGGATATTCTTAACCTTCACCAAAAATTATTTATTTTCATTTTTACAGACAAAACAATTTTAAGACTTGGTTAGGTAAAGGTAAGAAAAATATTACAGGTACTCTATTATTATAGATAAAGGTAAAAGTAATTATTTAAATAAAGTATAGAGGTGTTGTTGCTGCTACTTGTACAATTATAGAATTATCTATCAAGAGCATGTACAATGATATTCTTTTTCATTATTCTTATCTTAAAAAAGAACAAAAATAATAAAACTTTTTTTCATTGAAAGTTGTTTTCGAAGAGAGTTTGTTCGTTACATAGAATAAGCTCTTTTTTAATATTTTAACATCCGCTTCCGCAGGAAACAAAATAAAATACGAAACCTCTCGACAGTCATCTAAAGTTAATATAAGAACTAGATCCAAATTAAATTCTAAATCAAGACCCAGCAAAACGCAAAACCAGAATCCCTTGTACAAGTAAAAAGACAACAAAAGCTGAATCAAAAACCCGTACCTATTGAAACACACAGCTCTTAGGATTGTCGTTCCATTCAATGGCTCATCATCATCACGCCTTGAATTGTAGTGTACCTTATGATGCTCATAAAGAGGCCGTGAAGAGATTGGCATTTATTGAATTAAACATGGTATTGATGGCTTCGGGAGCAGTCGCTCTTGTTGTCTTTGGATCATGCAGGCGCTACTGCAGTAACATGGTGTTTGATAAAATACAATGGATGAACTACTTTCTGGTGACCAACGTTGTGTTCACCCTCACAGTCGGCCAGATGGTGGGTGCTCCGTTCCGGAATGTGCTCTTTGCTGTGTGGGGTGCGATTCTTCTCAACACTGCCGGGGGTGCCGATTCCTTTTCTTCGTATAGTCCTACCGATAATGAACAATGGAAGAGCGTCACTGCACAAGCATTGCTTCGATCTATTTTGGTGTCAACCCTTCTTGGTTACGCTCTTACAACGGAGTATGGTAAGACTATTCTTGTTATCTCTTTCCTTTTATCAGCTAAAAGGATAGACGAAAGAGCAGTAGCTTTGAAGATGGCCACTAAATCTTCCTTAGCCCAGACCACCAAAAATATTGCGGATTTCATGGCCGGGGAGCATAAAATCCTCGTCAGAGGTGAAACAGATCCAACCCAAATGAAGGGTTATAATTATTTGGTCTCAGGAGATACTAAGTGGACTGCCTCCCCGCCAAATTATTTATATCAGCTGGAGGTTACGGATACCCAAGTCGTTACCCTCCAGAAGATCTGGCAGTGCAACGGGAGTCTTTTAACTGGTGAAAGCGGCCAACGGCTCAAGGACATCTGCCTCTCGTTTGCCTTGTTCAGACTCCTTTGTCGAAGATTCGGAGGGCATCCCTTCTTGGAGTCCAGCAAAGATAAAAGTAAAACATGGAGGCTTGTTCGACATGGTCTACTTTCCGAACAAGGGGACTATAAAAGAGCTTTCAGGGTGATCGAGGTAGAACTCAGTTTCCTTTTTGATCTTTTCTACACCAAATACGCAGTCATCTTCAAAAATGGGCAAGGATTGCAAAAGCTGAAGATCTTCTATGCTGTCTTTTTACTCTCTGGCTGCTGTGTGCTGGGCCTATTAATATTAAACCTGGACACTACTTATCGCACTACCTGCGAAGAGGTCACTCTAGTTGCAGCTAAACAACTTAGCGTGGACAAGGTAGTTACAACTATCATCTTAGGTTTACTTTTCTTAATGGAGATTGTGCAGCTTCTCCTCCTCGTTGTATCGAATTGGGCCACTGTGCTTTGGATCTGCAACCATGTGAGGGGAATTTCATTGCCTACCTACCTTATGTTTTGGCCAAAGATTATCATGTTCTGTCAGGAACGGTTCAAACCTTGGGAGAGAAAACTTGGTCAATACTTTCTACTGAAGTCCTTCAATCGGAACCCTTGGAGACTTAAATTTGAGTGTTTGTTGATGTTTCTTTTCAGTGGCATAATAGATATTCCAAGAGCAGGTCAAAAAGGAAAATATCGAATCAAATTGCCCGAGGAGGTAAAGAAAGCAGTGATGAATAGTCTCAGAAGGAATGATGAACCTCTCGAACTAAGTAATATTGGAGCAGAATCTTTGCACCGAAATGGAGTTTGGAATAATCAGCAGCTTTCTTCGGCATGTACATTGGAGACTCCCACCCATGTGATCTTGGTGTGGCATGTGGCTACTAGTCTCTGTATGTTTGATGAATCAACGAGGAGTCCAGCAAATTCAATCAAAAACCCTTCATCTGATGATTTCAAAATAGCCTGCGCCCTTTCTGGCTATTGTTCCTATCTGGTTGCTTTTGCTCCAAGGTTGATATGTGTTAATCCTATTGTTTGTGAGTTTATATTCGATAAAGTAATCGAGGAAGCAAGACGAATTCTCAAGGACTGCAATTCAGAGAGCGAAATGTATGAAAAGATTAGGAGTAGTATTGGCGAAGATGAAACCATCATTTATAAGGGTGCAATGCTTGCCCAGGAACTGCTACTTTTAACAAATATTGGGAAAGATAAGTGGAAGGTGTTGGCCGATTTCTGGACAGAGCTGGTGTTATTTCTGGCTCCTTCTGGGGATCCAATGGCCCATGTGGAACACCTCGCTAAAGGTGGAGAGTTTGTGACCCACTTGTGGGCTTTGCTCTCACATGCAGGGATTCTCAATCAATGCCCAACTTCGCGTGATGTTTAAAGGTAATTTTGCTTTGTCTGTCTTTTTCTTGGGGATCAATAGGCCTCGAAACCCATTTTGTGCACTCTAGTCCGTCAAAGATTATATATATGTCAAATACTGTTTTTGATTAAGCTCTTCTTTCAGCTGCTTAGGAGGATTTGCCGATTTGGTGACACGAGACTCTTCCCCTCCTGGGCCCTTCCAGCGCTGTGAAGGTTCCTGCCACCTTTTGTGTCCCTCTTTGTACTATCATTATGATGATTGTTTGGTTATAAGGGCTGATTGTGTGGAAGGTTTGGTTTGTGTTGTATGTGTGATGTGTGTTGTAAATTGAGAGGTGTGTGCTAAGAAATAAAAGGTTTGATGCAACAGTTGGGGTATGTTGTATATTTCAATGAAAACTTTTCCGTGTACACAAAACATAAATTTGTGTACTTAGTACGAATTGCATTTCTTTTGTAATCCAAGTACTGAGATTAGTAAAATAATCTTAATATAAGAGTTTTACAGGTTATTTATTGATAATATTTTAATAATTTTAATACTTAAATTGCACCCAAAAAAAAAAGGTACAATCCTCACTAAAAAAAAAAAACCTTTTTCTTAACAAAATCGTGTGATACCCTCGCAATGGTTGTAAAAGTCTGGGCCACTGATAGGCCTGTGAAAGGTCCAAAATGAGTTTCATTTATTTTTGTTTTTTTATTCTTGGGTCCGAAAAAGAGTTTGGGTTGGGTCAGATACAGCCCAACCTGGCAGTCGAAGGAGGACAGGTCAGGTCCAACTCGTATGGGTCGTACTGACCCAAAAACATGATCCGTCGGGTCCACGACTACCCGAACGGATCATATGACACGGATGAAGTCAGTTCATCCTCCTCCCAAACCAAACATAAAGTAAAACCAAGAAAAATGGATCGAAAACAATTCCTAAAATCGACAGAAACAGGCCCATAACCATTTGGATAGTGGTAAGAACAAAACTTCTCACAGATCCACTAAATATAAATTTTCCCAAGAAAACAAATCAAAGCTGAACTTGTCTTCCTCGTCCAACCTTGTTCAGGGCGTACGCCTTTCTTTGCCTGCAAAATCAAGTCTTTCTAGGGGATTAAGAACAAGGGTTGAAACGAAGAAGGAAGATTTCTCGCCTAGAAGAGAGCTTGAGCGTTGCAGCAGGAGCCCATCGGGAATTTGGAAGGCTTTGGAGCGTAACAATCCGATAATGGAAAAGGCGTTTGGTCTTCGTAGTCTGAAGGGTAGGATAGGAAAGAGATTAATGTTAAATTTTACAATTTTCACCCGCTGTATACTTAACAGTGTTATAAAGTAAACCCAATTTAATCAATTTTTAATTTTTTTTATTTAAATTGATTTAATTAGATAACAATTTTAATTAATTTTTAATTAAATTAAATCAGATTAATCAAAACAAGATATGAACTCCTCTGCTTAACACCCTATAGCTCCTCTTTCACATAGATTTTATACAAGTGGACACATAAATAATATCAAAAAAAGTATTTTAAATTTAAATTATTTTAAATTATAAAACAAGAAACCCAAGTAATATTTAGCACCTCTCTATGCAACATCTCTTTTGTGGTACCTATTTCCTCTGTTTTTGTCAACAAAGAAGTTAG